GGAGAGCAATGACTGCATGGCATTTGTAAATGTCTCAGCAGTTGTCTCCCATTGGCTCCTGCTGTCACATAGCTCCCCTCTCACAGAGAAGGCTGCCTCATGTCCTCCTGACAAAGGTCTCTGGGCACAAGTTTTCTACCACAGTCCAGTAGACAATCTCCCACAGAGGAGCAGAGGAAGACTTCTGGCTGTTCATTAAGTCGAGAAATCAAAAAGGAATGGTATATTCTCCCAGCCCTTGAGGAAGAAACTAATCACTGGCTCAGAAATACAGAGGGATAAGGCTGTTCTCAATAGGTGTATTTTTTTTAATCTGATCTACCTTCAAAGCTACTACTAGCAAGTCCTGACCACAACACTCTCGGCCCTCAGGTTTCTAGAAATGCCCAGAGCAAAGATCTTGAAAAGCAAAGAAGTGACAAAATCAGAATTCCTTTGGCCTCACAGCAGAAACAAGATAGCAGGTCTTTCTTCATGCCAGAACACTTTCAGGAGAAGGAATGAAGCTTACATCTTCTGACCTTAGTCAATTGTCATCAATACCCCTGTACTCACTGTTTCCAGCAATTTTTGAGGCCAAGCTAGGAGGATCACTTGAGCCCAGATATTCAAGACCAGCCTGGGCAACACAGCAAGATTCTGTCTCTACAAAAAAATTAAAAATTAGCCAGGTGTGATGGTGTACACCTGTAGTCCTACCTACTTGGGGTACTGGGCAGGAAGATCACTTGACCTCAGGAGTCCAAGGTTACAGTGAGCCAAGATCGCACCACTGCATTTACTCCAGCCTAAGCAACAGTGAGAATCTGTCTTAAAAAAAAGGAAAAAAAAAAAAGAATCTCTTGCTTTTTCCCCCCTCCTTCTAATCTTCTAATCTTCAATCTGTTCTTCCTTTCCAGAGTCAGAGACAGATCACAGATATATCTTATGTTATGCATTTGATGTGTTACTGAAAAATTATGTGTGAATTCAAATTTGGCAAATTGAATCATATTTTAAAAGCCTATTTAAAGAAAGTCCATGGTAAATAATCTGTTTGAAAAAGTAAGCTTTCCTGTCAAAGAGGGAGGAGCCACACATGCATTTCTTCATTTTTATTTGTATACTGGGCACTTACCCTATACAAGGCTGTGTGCCAGGCACTCAGGAGACACAAATATACCCACAGCCCTCCTTTCCTCAAGAGTTTATCTTACTGCCTTAAGAGAGCCTGAAACAAATTATTTATTTTCAAGAAAAAGCTGAGACTAAGAAAAGATTTTACTATAATTTATCAGTTCTAAAATATACTTTTTCCACATTTTTAAACTTCTAGATTCAGGAGGTGTGTTATAATTGATGGCATCCTCCCATGTTATCCTCCAGGCTGCAGTGGTAACAGAGCTGCCACTGCCTCTAGATGCAAGCTGCTCCCATTTGTTGACCCTTCAGTTATGTGCCATGCTGGAACTACATGTGTTGGTTAAACTGTTGTTTAAAATGTGTTCAGAAGGATTACAGTATGATATAGAATTCAAATTAAAAATGACTGTACACATAGAAAGGTACGGAAATGGCAAAGAGGCATGACTTTGTTATCAGTGGAGCAAACACTTCTCACTGGTGGAAGATCCCTAATTCTACATTTTCCTATAAAGCAAACACCATGCATTAAGTGATGAAAAGTCAGTGTGTTACACGTTGACAGTTTTTGTTTCCTTTGTGATATAAAAATAATGTTGTATCTGATAAAATATGATGACTTAGATTCAATGAAATACAGTAAGCATTGAGCCCCTACTCTGGGACAAGAAATGCACTAACGCACTAAGAGCCTTCTATATGTCAACTTACCTCTCACAGCAATGGTAGATATTATTCCGGTTTCACAAATAACCCCTTCCCAGGCTCCACAGCTAGTGGATCTGCAAGAGTCGGGACAGGAACCCATGTGTCTGCTCTACTCTATCGCCAGCTAGGCAAATTCCTATGATGCCAGAACATTAGTCAGAGTTTGAAAGGTCAGTTCCTGCTACCCCACCCCTGTCCCCAGCCCTTACTCATTTCTCCCCACCCAGTGATGAGAACAAGATGCTAGAGTTTATCCCTCAGGCTAAGGACCAAATCAACCATCTGGCCTTGGGAGAGCCCTATCCTAACCATAACTAACTACCTTTTCTCTGCCTTTCAATTAGCACCTTCTAAGATATATAAACCTAAAATGCAGGCCAGGTCTCTGGTTTTCTGTGGCAGCCTAAGGCACAAGTCTTCTTTATTTTGGTCAAACAGTTGCAAAATTTAGTGCTCTACATTTCTTCTGACTTGATCCCCCAACTCTGCCATGTGTTTCCATTGTCAACTTCATAGCAACAGGCCCATGAGAAACAAGAGTGAAGCAATCACACAAAGTCCAGTGGACAGATTTACTCCATCATCCCCAGGTTCTGTGGGCTGATGGTAGTTAGTCTTTTAGCTTGGAAAGAGTATAACATGACAAGCTGGGTATGTAAGTTAAAAAGCTGTACTGGATGTCATGAAAACTGGAAAGCTAAAGGTATCTTTAGTCATATGAAACTATCTCCAACTGATGCAGGACAGGCAAAGGAGGACATATTCAAAAGGAATAGAGAAAAATCTCAATTTTATAATTTTAACTTTACCTACCCATTCCTTGCATTCTACTAACTAGAATCAAATCCATGAAGTATGTTCTTATTCCAACTGGCACACCACCAATTTTAAAATAAGGGTAGAGGAGTGGTGAACAATCTCTTTGGGCTTGGAAATCTCTTTTTCAAATTGACACAAGCAAGCAGGCTCTCAAGATTTCGGTTTAAAATAGAATCCAATTCTCCTACTAGATATGAAAGTAATGTCTAAACAACAACTATCTCACTGAACATCATATTGACCAAAACAAAACTGTTATAATACATGATTCCAACTGAGATTTCTTTGGGAAAATCAAATTGAAACCATAAATTAGTCTTTGGTTTGTTCGAATACTACAATTTTCCACAGACACAGGGCCATACTAAATGAGGTTCACAGCCTAATTTGTAAACATTATGCATAAAGGTTTTCATGTACCACCAATATTAAATTAAAATTAAAGATTAACTCATATTACTACATTATGCTCATCTCTTCAAAAATTAATGATGAAAAACAATTTTTGATAATTTTGTTAGTATGGATTCAATTAACATTGACTCATGTTTAGACTTCTCCTGATAGGACAATTGCTCACAACCGTATTTTTCCATTGATGCAAGAAATGGAGCTAGGTCAGGAGGCAGCTAAGATAGGAAGGCATGGGAATATGAGTCTGAAAGAACAGGCAGGAGAGAAGAAAGAGACCACAAATACGCGACTGGTGCCATGATTTCAAGTCTGAGCAAAAGATAGGAGAGTAAGAGGAGTAAAAGAGATACGGTACACAGGAGAAAGGTGGCACAGGGTGGGGATGAAGAATAAAATGTTCTGTTGAACCTGATGAGTCTGATATGCATACACAGCACTCACACGGACATGTTCACCAGGAAGTCAGAAAGGACTCACAAGCGCCTCAAAAGTCCAAGGTAGATACAGACATGGAAGCCAATCCGAGAGAGAACATGAGATCACCAGGAGTAACAAGAAATCAGCAGGAGAAAGCACGTCAGGGAGACGAAGAGAATTCACCAGAGGCCCAATACTGAGGCTGTTGGCAATGGGAGGACAGAGGAATAAGAATCTGTGAAGAAGGTCAAGATGGAATGGGTCAGAGAGGCAGGCAAACCAAGAGAGTTCTAGGATCTGTGCTACATGCAAAAAGAAAAGTCACCTGCATCAGAAAGTGCAGAAAGAGTAGGTAGAAAGCAGGACAAGAGGGCTACTGGACTGGGTGCTTTGTTAATGTGGTAGGGCAGAAACCAGTGCAGTAAGAAATTAGAGAGAGAAAGGTAGGAAAGGAAGCCATTTTGTCCACTCTCCTGATAAAGCCTGAGGCTTTTTGAGAGGAAGGGATAGGACTGTAACTTGAGGAATACCATGAAAAAGGAATGAATCAGTATTATTTTTTCAACCAGAGGTATCACCACATAATGTAAAAAGGCTTCACGTACATCTGGCATAGGCAGGATTAAAGTCAGGAAATAGACAATAACCATTCTGCCTATTCAAATTCTCCATGTCCACCATTCCCCATCCCCTGCACACACACACACACACACTTAGTACTAAATGATAATGCCTTTATAATATAGATATAAAAAGAGGAGCTGTATTATACTGAAAGCATAGTTCAAGGACTGTCATAAACTATGTATTTGGAAATGCACCTTATAAGCGTTATGTCAACATTTAACTCAAGAGATTATCTGTTAATTTTCAAAACGGCCTGCTACTTTTATGTCTTTTGTGACCTAAGTTTGGCACCATCATGGATCATTAGAAAAAAATATGTACCTATAAAAATATAATTAGCCATAGTTAATTCCGGAGTTGTACTCAAAATGCTAGTGGGCCAGGCGCAGTGGCTTATGCCTGTAATCCCAGCACTTTGAGAAGCCAAGGAGGGTGGATCGCTTGAGGCCAGAAGTTCAAGACCAACCTGGCCAACATGGCAAAACCCTGTCTCTAGTAAAAATACAAAAAATCAGCCAGGCGTGGTGGCACATGCATGTAATCTCAGCTACTTGGAAGCCTGAAGCATGAGAATCGCTTGAACCTGGGAGGCAGAAGTTGGAGTGAGCCGAGATTGCACCACTGCTCCAGCCGGGGGACAGAGTAAGACTCTGCCTAAAGTCAAAATTAAAAAAAAAAAGTAAAAGAAAAAGAAAATGTTAGCAAAGCATTTACACTGTGATACTAAACAATCCTTAAAACCTCCCAAATACTGAAGATCTTTCCCACATCCATGCTTCTGTCTATACACCGTCATAGCACATGCTCTATGTTTACCTACAAATATTGCTTTTTATCATTAAGTGGTTGAAAAGGCTGAAGTTATGAAAAATGGTTATGAAAGCAGCAAATACCTGAGGTACTCACAGCTGTGGAGTAGGGATTATGAGCTCCAGTATTTTCAGCCCAGCAGCCACATCCATAAAGAGCAGCCTGGGGAAAAAGGAAAATGGATACAATATTTCAGAAATATCATATGTAATTATTAACTCTCAACAGAAATCATAGCTATCTAATAAAGCCTCGTTTAATAATGATTATAAGGAAGCTGGTTAACACCATTTTACAGAGGTGGAAAGTGGAGCCTAAAGATGTTAAGTAACTTGTTCAAAGTAAGGGGAATGGTATGTGGGGAGGTGGGATTAGAAGAGAGGTTTACCAGCACTTTGGGAGGCTGAGGCGGGTGGATCATGAGGTCAAGAGATCGAGACCATCCTGGTCAACACGGTGAAACCCCGTCTCTACTAAAAATACAAAAAATCAGCTGGGCATGGTGGCGCGTGCCTGTAATCCCAGCGACTCAGGAGGCTGAGGCAGGAGAATTGCCTGAACCCAGGAGGCGGAGGTTGCGGTGAGCCGAGATCGCACCATTGCACTCCAGCCGGGGTAAAATGAGTAAAACTCCTTTTCAAAAAAAAAAAAAAAAAAAAAAAGAGAGGTTTACCTGAATCAAAGGTCCACACTTAATCAGTAAACTCAACCGCCTATTTGTGTGGGGGTGGGATGAAGTTTAGGAGAATAGGTAAAATAGAATAATTCCTTTCTCATGTCCAAATTGTAAATTCTAATTATTACAGTAAGCTAAAGACGCAAATAAGTCCAATTCCAATTACCATTTCTTTTCTTTTTTTTGGAGACAGTCTTGCTCTGTCACCAGGCTGTAGTGCAGTGGCATGTTCAGCTCACTGCAACCTACGCCTCCCAGATTCAAGTGATTCTACTGCCTCAGCCTCCCCAGGTAGCTGGGATTACAGGTGTCAGCCATCATGCTCAGCTAATTTTTGTTTCATTGTTTTTTGAGATGGAGTCTCACTCTGCCACCTACACTGGAGTGCAGTAGCGAGATCTCAGGTAACTGCAACCTCCACCTCCTGGGTTCAAGCAATTCTCCTACCTCAGCATCCCGAGTAGCTGGGATTATAGGTTTGCACCACCATGCCCAGCTAACTTTTGTATTTTTAGTAGAGATGGGGTTTTGTCATGTTGACCAAGCTGTTCTTGAACTCCTGATGACCTCAAGTGATCTACCCACCTTGGCCTCCCAGACTGCTGGGATTACAGACATGAGCCACTGCACCTGGCCTAATTTTTATATTTTTAGTAGAGACAGCATGAGCCAAAGTGCTGGGATTACAGAAAATAGTAAGAAAGTCATGAGGACTATAATGCATGAAAGATGACTTTGCTGGCTTTTCGCTCACCTTCTCTATTCCTCTACAGGGTTTCGGCATGTTGGCCAGGCTGGTCTCAAACTCCTGACCTCAAGTGATCTGCCCACCTCGGCCTCCCAAAATTACAGGCATGAGCCACCACACCTGGCCTCAAATTGCCATTCACCATCTGCACTGCTATCACATATCTACAGCAGGGTAATATGCTAAAATTTTTAAATAGATAATTGTACATTTAAAATACATTAAAAGTATCTAGTTTCAGCACACTTAAAAAATAACTAGATTTTGATATAATTTGTTTTTGTATTTTGTTTCATTTGGACCTGTGAAAAAGAATTGTTCTTTACCTCTCATCTGATACTTACATAATTTCAGGTTTATTACATCTTCTCTATCCAAACAATATAATCCAATTAAGCAACTGCATTTTCCTATAAGCCCTTTGACTCCTTTCTTCCACACTCTTTCCTGATTTTCTAGCTCCAGAAGCTATGTATTCATAAACTAGCCAAGTGAGGTAAATCAACACATAACTTTTACAGAAGTATTTCTTTTGTTAGGACAGTTCTACGTGCAGGGGCAGAATGGCTTCAAGACTGTTAGATGTAATATCTGGCTAACAGTCCAGAACTATCCTTGGTTCTGTTTTTGCTATTTTGCTAACAGAAAAATACTGAGAAACAGAAAACGTGAGAAAGTCACAGGGACGATAACGCATCGAGGGCGGCTCTGCTGGCTTTTCTCTCACTTTCTCTGCTAGGGTGTCTGCATCTGATATGCCAGGCTTGATTTTCTTACTGCAAACTTGACAAATACACGACTTTATGATGTAAAAAAATACCATGACCAAACAAAGGCGTTTACAATGAGTTCAAAGCATCGTACACATGTTGAATAATCATTCCCTACACAGCCCCTTGTACGCCAGGCGGAGTAGCACAAAACTAATTATCCTTCCCTTCCCCTTTTTCCTAGTCGAGGAATGTAAGCAGCTTAGGGGAGATCAAGCAATATCACTTAGGGGTGTGTGGTGATACTCTCCATGAATTCGATCTCTGTTTCAAATAGGTGCTAACTATCATGAACAAAGTAATTGTGACACTGACTCTTCTTCAAATGTGACAAAGTACACAAAGCATACCAAGACATACTCCACCTATAAGATGCCACCCAAATATTGAGTTTAAATGAACCCTTGCAGCTGCTCCATGAGAGTATCCAATTCATTTGTGCACTTAACAAATATTTATGAAGCCGACAAGCAACGTGCCAAAATTGGTTTATCCTCAGAAAGCTTCCTAGATCAAATGAAATGTTAAATTTCATTCTCAGTATAAAACCAAAGATTAGAGATGGGGGACGGAGGGGCAAAGTGAAGAGGATGTGCAAGTGAACTGGGAACAAGCAAATTTTTACATAAATTAGACCATCTTCATTTCTAGATTTTCTAAGTGGTATCATGTGTTGGTGACCTGAAATACTGGTTATTTTATAAAATGGCTGAAATGGTTGATTAGAGGAGGGATGTAAAGGGCCAAAGGTCACCATACATGGAATAGAGGAAATTAAAAATGTAACTCTGAAATCATTTCTCCAACTAAAAAGCAAGCAGTATAATCAAGTAGAGCTTGTTCCTAAAAAGAGTGATATTTACAGAGAGAAAATGGAAACCGGCACACATTTATTAAATGTCTACTAAATGCCCAGGCCAGTGCCCAGCCTGCTGAAAGTAGCAAAACTAGGATCACCAATTGTAAAGATGAGAAACAAACCAATTACTATGAGATAGGTTCTCTTAAAAAGAATCTTAAAAGGGTATTTGTTTGATGATTTATACTAGATGTTCAAAAACAATTATATGCATTTTTTCTAAAGAAAAAATGTTCCTACTGGTTAAAAAACTGTGAGCTAAAAATTCCATGCTTTACTGTGTAAGGTTACTTTAAAAAACCCATAATTACTTACCTGCCCAACTCTCCCCGGATGTTTCAAGGCCAAGCCTCCACTGGAGACAGCAGCAGCAACATTCCCTTCGTGGTCCACAACCACAGCGCCCACCGTGTCCAAAGTGCCTGAGTCATTTTCCTGCAGAGCAAAAGTGGCACAAGTATTCACTCGGCATGGCGTGGGACAATCTGATATGACTACATAGCATTTTTCTGTATAATCATGACAAGACAAAATCTAAACTAATCTTTAAGCGGAACATTGAGCAATCTCCTAAAATTATCTATTATCAAGTTGCCATTTAAATTCTATTTAAATCCAAATGTATTTTCCACCAAAAATTCCAAACAAAAGGTGTCCTGCTGCTTTTCTCTAATAACAAGGTTATAGCATCTTTTTAATGAAGGAAATATCACAATTTAATATAAATTTCAGTATACAACAGTGTTTCTTCATTCTCAAGAATTAAGTTCATGTTTGAGAATGTGTAGAGGAAAAGATCTGTGGCATAAATGAGCCAATAAATACCCTTGTTAGTATATCTCTAAGTATTCTATACAAGCATCTAATAAAAATACAATCCACACAATAAATGAATAAAATGGCATTTACAATCTTGACATATACCACACTGTCATTTTTCTCTTACAACTCTTTGTTTGTGAGAAACATTTTGGCAAGTTCCCCTCTCTCCTATATCAGTAATATGCTTGCCAATTGTATGGCAGAAAAGTGTTCTTAGAAAGCATCTTTGTGTTTTGATGTTTTGTCCCAGGTCTCACATGTTTAAAGCACTTAGTGACATTAGTGATTATGAGCAGCTGTCTCCTACTTCCAAAGTTTCTGGGTCACCTGTGCAAGAGAGACAAATACTACACTACTGGATAGAAATAATGACTAAGGGAGGCAAGAAAAAAAGTCATAGGAAAAAAGTCTTATATATTAAAAAGAAGGGTCCTGCTCACACTACTGAACAGGATTTGGTTGGTACTGAGGGATCCCTAAGAAGCAAAATGACACACTAAGGCCATCACCAGAAAAGTCAATGAGTTCCTGGGGCCATCTCAGAAGCTGAGCAACATTGAAGAGTTTCTAAATATTGGAAGCAGAATTCAAACAAGAGATTTTTCCCTAAAGCAAACTGGAAAACTCAGAAGTAGAGTGTGCCACAACAAAATTTTACATCAGGTCTGTTAGGAAAAGGTATTTACATCTAGAATTTATATTTCTTGTTCTAAATTCTAACTTCCCTTAAGTATATTGATACACTATGACAGTACTTACTTTGACAGGAAATGTTTAAGTGGCTGAAATGAATGCTATATTACTAAGCCCTCTTTTAACCACAGCTGGAGAAAGTCTAGCCAATGAATCCACAAGGTCATATCTCAGAATGCCATAGTTCTGCTCAAGGCAGATGCCTTCAAGAATACTTCCTAGCCTGACCATAAACTCCTTGAGGAAAGGCTTGATCCATTCCACATCACCCTGAATGCAACAGACACTCAGGACATACTTATTTTTTAATTAAGATACAGGATATCTGTAACCCTGGTGTTACAAAACACGTCCAATAGTGAATAACATGCATGCCATTCCAATGTCAGGGCCAGTTTTCTATCTCCATTTCACAAGCTTTGACCTCACGCAAATCCACACGCTGTCGCTATCTTAGGGAAGACTTAACAATAGCCAGACTTGTTCATTCAGGTTGGACAAAGCAAAGTTTATCTTCTCTGGTAAGTAAGATTAAGAAGAGCAGTATAGAAATGTATTAAAGATATTTTACTCCAGAAAAGATGGGTAATCTTAAAGACAAATATAGTTTTAAGGGGAATATTTGTTTTATAATTCTAATGAATAGTTTCTAAATCTGTATATCCTTGCAATCTCAGGTACAGAAGTGTTAGTTCCCCAGATGGCAAGTTTGATGTCTTCTTTAGGAAGGCTTCTCAAATTTTAATGTGCACACAAATCATCAGGAGAACTTGTTTAAATGCAAATTCTGATGGAAGAATCTGGAAACTATCCAAGGCTGTACATCTAACAATCTTCCACATTATGCTGATGATGTAACAGCATCCCACTCCAGGGGATCATTATCCACCAAATACCTGCTCCATTCATTCTGAAGCAAAGTACTTAGAGGCACACAACTGCTGAAGGAGAAACTTAAAACTACCTACAGCTAACATTATACCAGTATAAAAGATTTAAGTTCTATCTTGCTTAACTATCAACTGACAGCATATCACCACTATTATACTACATGGATTTGGTATGTATATTTTAAAATACTGATCTTTCACTTTAAAAAACAAACAAATCTTATACAAATAAATGAACTGTAAAGTAACTTTCCTCAACAATAACAAAAAAGTCAAGAAAGGGTATTCTTTTAAGATTATTATTATTTATTTATTTATTTTATTTTATTTATATATTTTTTTTGAGACGGAGTTTCACTCATGTTACCCAGGCTGGAGTGCAATGGTGCGATCTCGGCTCAACGCAACCTCCGCCTCCTGGGTTCAGGCAATTCTCCTGCCTCAGCCTCCTGAGTAGCTGGGATTACAGGCACGCACCACCATGCCCAGCTAATTTTTTGTATTTTTAGTAGAGACGGGGTTTCACCGTGTTGACCAGGATGATCTCGATCTCTTGACCTCATGATCCACCCGCCTTTGCCTCCCAAAGTGCTGGGATTACAGGCTTGAGCCACCGTGCCCGGCCAAGATTATTTTTTGAAATACTGAGTGTTTATTGAGAGACATATGCCAGTACTTTTTGCCTTTATTCTTTGTTATAAAATTCTGGAAATTTTTACATACTTTTTTCCCTAGCCCTAGTAAGGCATAATGTAAAGTTATTGTCTTCATTAGGCCTACCAGATAAGGAAAATTGCTTCCGGTAAATAATCAAATTGTGACTCTTACCCTATTTTACCGACGAACCTTTGAGGGAAAGGTATGTCTCTTTTTTACATTTTTGTTATTTTAATTAATAAAGATTATATATATTATGGTAGTAGCATGATGTTTTGATATAGGCATAAATTGAAGAATGGCAAAAATCAAACTAATTAGTGTATACATTACCTCACATAATCATTTATTTCTGGTGAGAATGCTTACAATCTACTCTCTTAAGGGTATTTTTCATTAGCTCTTTTTTACAAACTGCAACTGCTGCTGCTACTACTCAAGCATTCTGTAAAATAGAATTTTATAGAGGGGACACACAGTGATATGCATTCTCTGTGAAGCAATTTTCCTAACATTTCAATCAGGATATTGTGAATCATGAGAACTTTTACGCCTAACCAAACTCCTATAGAAAAATACAAAAACTGATGTCAGTATAACTGGACTATACATAGATGGATTTACTGTTTCTTGGTTTTCAAAAATGAAAAATCATGAAAAAAAAATAGAGAAAGTTGTTCCAAATTAAGTTAAATATTCCTAACAGCCTGTAACACCTGAAAAAAAATCAGGATTACTTCATAAATATTCAAGAATTAGTTCACAGACTTCACATACTGCAAAGCAAATTTAAGGATGATGAAGTAATATTTAAGCATTTTTATGACGTGCAGAGAAATTAGGTGAAAGATAAACATTGGTATTTTGGCCATAATAATTTCATAGAGCTCATTTGTACAGGAATGAAATCTTAGAAAGGTTAAAAAGCATACAATGAATGTTACTATATAGAGCTACTATTACACTTTTACACTCTATAAATACTTGAAAACATGTGCACTACACGCATACATATATACTTATTGTCCTTGACTAAAATATGTTATTTGTATTACTTTTTTGATAAAATTATAACTAAAAAGCAACTGTATAAAACCATAGTCCTCTTCAAAATAAGCATGTATATAAACTTAGCATAGAGGTTACATGTGTTAAAGAAAACACTGAAATAAAACTTTCTTGAAGTAAGCAATAAATTAGTAACCCCTGTTTACTCTGTCCCAAATTAGAGATGGTTATTATATAGTTATTATAAGAATTAAGTAACACATGTAAACTACTTTAAAAGGAATAAATCCCTTAATACAAAGTTAAGGCACTTCCCACCAGAAAATTAAGCCTCTAATCTGTACTCTTTGAAATCTGCTAAGAGACATCATCTATCAGTCTTTTTTTTTTTCCCATTTATTTATTTTATTGCATTTTAGGTTTTGGGGTACACGTGAAGAACATGCAAAATTGTTGCACAGGTACACACGTGGCAGTGTGATTTGCTGCCTTCCTCCCCATCACCTACATCTGGCATTTCTCCCCTTGCTATCTCTCCCCAGCTCCCCACCCCCTACCGTCCCTCCCCTATTTCCCCCCAACTGACCCCAGTGTGTAGTGCTCCCCTCCCTGTGTCCATGTGTTCTCATTGTTCAACACCCGCCTATGAGTGAGAACATGCGGTGTTTGATCTTCTGCTCCTCTGTCAGTTTGCTGAGAATGATGGTTTCCAGGTTCATCCATGTCCCTACAAAGGACCCAAACTCATCGTTTTTGATGGTTGCATAATATTCCATGGTGTATATGTGCCACATTTTCCCTATCCAGTCTATCGTCGATGGGCATTTGGGTTGGTTCCAGGTCTTTGCTATTGTAAACAGTGCTGCAATGAACATTCGTGTGCACGTGTCCTTATAGTAGAACGATTTGTAATCCCTTGGATACGTACCCAGTAATGGGATTGCTGGGTCAAATGGAATTTCTATTTCTAGGTCCTTGAGGAATCGCCACACTGTCTTCCACAATGGTTGAACTAATTTACACTCCCACCAACAGTGCAAAAGTGTTCCTATTTCTCCACATCCTCTCCAGCATCTGTTGTCTCCAGATTTTTTAATGATCGCCATTCTAACTTGTGTGAGATGGCATCTCAATGTTGTTTTGATTTGCATTTCTCTGATGACCAGTGATGATGAGCATTTTTTCATATGTTTGTTGGCCTCATGTATGTCTTCTTTTGTAAAGTGTCTGTTCATATCCTTTGCCCACTTTTGAATGGGGTTGTTAGTTTTTTTCTTGTAAATCTGCTTTAGTTCTTTGTAAATCATCTATCAGTCTTTTATCTCATTAACTTGGTCTTTTTTGTCCAGAATTACTCAAATATCAAGTAGCTAAAATACAATAATAAATCTTAAATGTATAAATGCATTCTGAAATAGGTATATTATGGAATTATCTGAATATAATGATAAAGACAGAACTACATCCTTTGAAAACATACCAAGCCCTCCTAGCATACCTTTGTTAGGTTTGAGAGCAGCATTATAACTGGCGTGAGCTAACACCTGAGAAATGCAGATGACTTATGCCCACATGACAGTACAACAATGTCATCATAAAGCTTTCACCTCTCTGAGTATCGTAAACATGGAGAGATTGGATCTGGCTACAGGACATCTAGACCTACCTCTATATCCCTGACAATCAGCCCTCCAACAGCAGGGCCACAGTGGGCTACAGTTTATCAACTATGTGTAAACAAAGTATAATTAAGCTAGGCTGGGCGCAGTGGCTCATGCCTGTAATCCCAGCATTTTGGGAGGCCGCGGTGGATGGATCTCCTGAGGTCAGGAGTTCAAGACCAGCCTGGCCAACATGGTGAAACTCTGTCTCTGCTACAAATTCCAAAAGAAATTAACCAGGCATGGTGGTGCGCACATGTAGTCCCAGCTACTCAGAGGCTGAGGTGGGAGAATCACTTCAACCCAGGAGGTGAAGGTTGCAATGAGCCAAGATCACACCACTGCACTCACTGACACAGTGAGACTCTGTCTCAAAATAATAATAATAATTTAGCTAGATTTATCTACTCTCACCTATGTGGATTGCATGAAACCAGCAAAAAGTTCTGAACATATGAACATTCAATGATATTATCTTTCCTTTTCAGGAAATCATCTTCTGATGCCTAATACTATTAATGATGCTCCTTATAAACTACAATCAAGATGTCAATTCTTAAGTAATTTTTTATTTTCTTTAACAGGCATGAGTTTAATGACTTTGCAACACTATACAAATTGGTACCACATATATTTATAGAGCAAGAGGAAAAAAATGTATACCACATAAAAATCTAAACACAGTAGTCAACATAGCAGACCTTGTCTCTACAAAAAAATTAAAAATTAGCCAGGCATGGTGGCACACACCTATAGTCCAAGCTACTCAGGAGACTGAGGCTGGAAAATCCCCTATGCCCAGGAGTGCAAGGCTACAGTGAGCTATGATCACACCACTGCACTCCAGCCAGGGCAAAAGAGTAAGACACTGTCTCTAAATAAATAAAAAATAAACAATAAAATATTTATATTATTTATTTCCTAAATCACTCTACAAAAATTAACAGAAACAGTTTCAGGTTAAAATAAAAATAAAAGTGTTTGAACCATGCTTTTAAGGGGATTTAACATATCTGGGTTAGAGGAATTAAATTCATACTATAAAAAGATTACTTAAAAATTCCAAACCCTCAAAGATAGCAAAGGACAATGTTTTCTAACTGGCAGAATTCCTATACAATGTTCTGGGGACTGCAACATTAAGGGTGGAAAAGGCAATGGTTTTCATCTTGGCTTTTAAGATAATCTTTTAAAAAATGAATTTTAAGGTTTTCTCTTTAAAATGGAATAGTTTGAAGGGCCTCAGAGTGCATGTTGAGTGAGCATGTATAAGTGATGGTAGAGATCAGACTCACAGCTTACATAGCTTACACAGCTAAACAGTAAATACCATCACAAAAGCAGTATTATCTGGCTTTAAATCATTTCTGTTCTCACTCATATGCAGTTTAATTAGTATCTTTAAACCTTATACCCATAGTGAACCACTGGTTAAAGACTGAGAACCTAGGACATACTGAAGTTAAAATAAAAATTACAGCAAGTTCCTTAAGATGACAATAACTAGGTCATTAAACTGCATTCATCCTATCAAAATACTTACAGAACACATCTCAAGGACTTCAAGTATTAGTTTAAATATTTAATGATAAATATGTGCAATTTGGCTTATTTTTCTGAAATGAATAACCACAATTTTATAATTCTACATCAAAATTTATAAATTCTACATTAAACATAAACCTACCTATGACCCAGCAACAAAATTCTTAATTATTTGCCGAAGAGAAATCAAAATGTATACCATAAAAAGACTTGTCAAGGGTGTTCATAGCACTTTTATGTGCAATAGCCAAAACCTGGGAAAATCCAAACCTCTATCAACAGGAGAATGGGTAAACAAATTATGATATTGTCAATACTAGAGGACTGCTGAGCACTGAAAAGGAGCCCACGCTATATGCAACAATATGAATAATGTTTCGGATATATGCTGAGTAAAAGAAGCTGGATGTAATAGAACATATAGTGTAGACTAGATTTTAATGAACAAGTAAAACTATGGTGAAAAAGAATCAGAAAAGTGTTGTCTTCATTGGGAGAGGCAATAACAATGAAGGGGCAGGAGGAAACTTTCTGGAGTCATGGAAAATTCTATATCTTGACAGCAGTATGATTACATGGTTATACACACATGTCAAAATTCACCAAAGTATACACTCAAGATGTATGCATCTTACTGTATGTAAATTTTACCTGTAAAAAACGGCAAAAAAAAAAAATCAATACCAATATGTTATCTAAAAAAAACAAAACCAAATATTCAAAACATCAGATCATGAACAAATTTTTCAACTTTTTCCTATTGGTATAAGGCATATTTAATACACATTTGGTTGTAACTATAAGAAAAAGGGGAAAAACGTGAAAAATATGTGAATGAGATGTTAAGAGATATGACTCATAGTCTAATCTGTGTCTAGATAGAATAGACAAAATAAAGGAGGGAAAATATTTAAAAGCAAAATGGCTCAAAATTTTCAGAACTGATAGGAAACAAGAGTCCTGATCTCCAGGAAGCCAGAGAAAAAGGGAAAAGTCAGATAGAAAAGAGAGGTCACTTACAGCAGAACGACAGCCAAATTCCTGGAAGCTCGTAGGCCAGAAGGCTATGATTGGTTAGTATAATGTCCTCAAAGAAAACTAACTATAAACTTAGAAATGTTACTCAACAAAACTGCCATTTAGAACAAAACCAAATACATAAATAAATAAAATGAGTTCACTCCCAGGAGGACTGCATTTAATAAAGTCTTAACACTACAACCTGTCCTCCTTCTGCATCCTCCCTACCATCCACACACAAAACACCTAATCTCCCTTTCTTTGCTCTACTTTATATTTTTTCCATAACATCTCATCACCTTCTAAAATGATATAATGCTCATATCATTTAAATTACCTATCTCCCTGACAAGGTGATAAGCTTCATGAAGGCAGGAACCTTTGTATGTTTTATTCCCTAACATATGCCAAGCATCCAGAAAAGCACTTGACACCTCTTAGGCAGTCAATAAACATTTGCTGAATGAATGAATGAATAAATAAATAAATGATATGTTTCAAGAAGGGAAATAAATGGAGGACAAGCAGACATGCAACAAGGAATAGGTAAACAAATACAATGGCAAACCTGCATAAAACATATTGTCTTTAAAAATAATAATGTCTTATTAGAATGTCAGATTGGATTTGAAAATCTGCCTAGATGTTATTTATGAGAGTTACACCTAAAGCACAAGCATATGGAAAAGTCAAAAGTAAAAGGATGGGGAAGAAAAACGATATACCAAGCAGATACCAATCCAAACAATGAAACTATGTTAACATCGAGCAAAATAAGTATCAAGACAGAAAGCATTAATAGAGATACAGGGCTCTACATGACAAAGGCTGAAAGTTTAGAGTCACCAAGGAGATATAATAATTCTAAATTTGTATGTACTTTTTAAAAATCCTCAAATTTATATAAAGTAAAAACAGAGAAATCAACAAATTATACTCCACAATGAAATATTTCAACACATTTCTCTCTATCATGAAGAGGTCAGGCAAGAAAAATCAGTAGAAATGAATGTGAATAGCATATTAAAAAGCTTGATTTGATAACACTGATAGATCTCTGTGCTCAATATTAGAAAAGAAACTTTCTTTTCAGGAACAGAACTGATCACACATTAAATCATAAACTAAATCATTAACAAATTTCAAAAAAACTATATTCTCTGACTAATACAATTAACTTAGGAGTCAACAAAAGTAGATAAAATCTGGAAATTAAAAGATTTTTTTAAAACCCTTCTAAATAATTTATGGATCAAATAAATCAAAATAGAAACACAAATAATAATGAATGATAACAAAAATGTAGCATTTCAAAACTTGTGGGATACAGTAAAAGTAGTATTGGGAGGAAAATTTACGTCCAAAATGTTGAGATAAGAACAAAAAATTAATAAGCTAAGTATCCAACAAAAGAAATTAGAACGAGGACGAGATAAACACAAAGAAAAAGGGGGGGGAATAAAAATGAACAATCATTGAAGGAGATACAAACTTTAAATAAAGAGACCAAAAAAAGGCAAAGTTGGTTCTGTGACAAAATACTTGAATGAGTTCAGTCTGATTGGCAATCATTTTCTCTCTCTATCATCTGAATCTCAGCCAAGGCCCCTCCCTCCTGCCTTGTCCTCCAACACGAGGCTCTGCTCTCTCAAGTGGTAACAGACACTGGCATCTCTACCTCACTTGCACATCATACAGGGCAATTGTCACTTCCCACCCCTACCCTCATCCCCACACCACCTACACCACACATTAAAATACTGCACATTTAGGGCCGAGCGCAGTGGCTCACACCTGTAATCCCAGCACTTTGGGAGGCCAAGGTGAGTGGATCACCTGAGGTCAGGAGTTCGAGACCATCCTGACCAACATGATGAAACCCCATCTCTACTAAAATTAGAAAAATTAGCCAGACATGGTGGCAGGTGCCTGCAATCCCAGCTACTCGGGAGGCTGAAGCAGGAAAATCACTAGAATCCAGAAGGCAAAGGTTGCAGTGAGCCGAGATCGCACCGTTGCACTCCAGCCTGGGTGACAGAGTGAGACTCCATCTCAAATAAACAAACTGCACATCTTCAAGTGATGCAGGCTCAAATAACTCCAGAAAAAGATTTCTTGGCCAGCTGTGGTGGCTCATGCCTAGAACCCCAACACTTTGGGAGGCCAAGGCAGGCAGATCACTTGAGGTCAGGAGTTCAAGACCAATCTCATCTCTACTAAAAATACAAAAAAATTATCCAGGCACAGTTGTATGTGCCTGTAGTCCCAGTTACTCAGGAGGCTGAGGCAAGAGAATAGCCTGAACCTAGAAGGCAGAGACTGCAGTGAGCCGAGATTGCGCCACTGCACTCCAGCCTGGGTGACCAAGCAAGACTCCATTTCAGAAAAAAAAACAAAACATTTCTTGAATCACTTCCCAACCAAACAGGAGGCCCTTGTGCCTTTCAACCTCTAACACACACATTTCTTCCCACTACAAGGCCACAGGCTGGCTTGTTACAGAATCTTTGTTGTCTCATCTTGCCCCTCATGCATCTATAAGTAACAAAGTATCATAACGTTAATATTCTTTACTTGAATCTCATCAATAACTCAAACTCTGTTCCCTCTGAAACTGCATCTTGTTCAATTTGGACACGTGATCAAAACTCAGCTTATCTAAAGCAGTTTTCTATTATGTCGCATTATGAATGTCACATTTCTGATTATTTCATATTTAGATCTTCTCTAAATGTAATGTTTTTGCACATCACTCTTAAATTAGTTCATTCCCAAAAGCACATCCTTAAACAACTGCCATGAAATATTTGGCTGGTCCCCATAATAACCAAACTGAAATCCAAACCCATTTCTTGTAATATGGGAGTAATCCTTATTTCTTGAAGTTTGGCATGTCCTTTAGTCTACTGTTCAAAACAAACTTCTAAGACTAAAACCATCAAACATTAATCCTCTCACTTTATCTATTAAAAAATTATATTTCTTGATATTGGTCCCATATAGTCAATGTTTTCTTTTGGTAACAATTCTTTACTGCCCTCCCATCCTTTGAGGTCATTTGATATCAGATCATACTTTTCTCATTTTTTACTAATTCAGTTCTCTTTTACTCCAAATTTTCTTGATTTCCTAAAAGTGAGAATAAGCAATGCTCATACTATACTTTAGCTCTAACTTTGTTTTTCCCACAGGAAAAGATCTATTGTTCCTCAATAGATCTTATTAGAAAATAAAGATAAAGAACTGAGAGAGTAGCAACAGAGTTAAGTATATATTTTAGGATATAAAATTTGCATTTTATATTTATATTTTAGAATATAAAATATAACTTAAACTAATTATGATAGTACCATATCCCAGAAAATCAAATGTCACTCAAACTAATCTCAGTGATGTTTTCAGAGACTCTAAAACACCCAAAAGCCTGTGTTTAATGCAAACAGCCACGAGGATGGGCCATTCATACATATTTCAAAATATTCCCCTCATTTGGTCGGAAGTACCGTAGAACAAATAAAAGTAGCATGAAGTCCAAGTGTACTCTAGCTATAGTCATAATACCTCCATGCCCTATTTTACTTTGCTAAATTCTGCAGACAGTTTTAACTTTATCAACTGACATTTCCCCACCAGGAATTAGAAGCTGCCAAAACCAGAGTTTGGTTTGACCAGCAAAGTATAGTTCGATGTTAGACACTTTTTTTAATACCTTAAAATGGAACAGATATGGCCAGTCAGCCAGTTTCTCTGCTACTTGTCCACCTCTCTAGATCTGGCTTATACACTTAGGCAGTCTGCCTGGCACCCTTGGTATCTGAGTTTGAAACCACTGTCCTGCAAAATCCCTGCGGTGCAACCAAGCTCATCCATTTGCAGGCCTATGAACCCAGGACTTTTATCTTTCTTTCTACCCAGACATATAAGCCTGACCCTTTATCCAACATCCAGCTAAAATTCCTCCAATTCCATTAAGTCTGCCACGTGAAACTTAGCAGAGCTTAGAGTGATTTCTCCATCCAGTAATTCCTGTGGCTCTTACTGATGATTTTGTTCTAACACATACCAAATGGCATGATTTTTTTAATTGTTTAATTCATTAGGATCAAATACGTAAAGGGCAGGGACTAGGTGCCATATCCTCTATTCATTCTCTAAGATCTATTTAAAAGCCTGTACATAAATAGCATTCAATAAATGTTTGTTGATGACAATGTTGAGGCCAAAGGTTAAAAAAAAAAAAAGAGGGCTGGATAAGAAATACCAATGACAGCATAAAGTCGTGACTTCTGGTGGAAAAAAACACCAGTCAAAGCCCATGCACTTCTCCAAATGACTCACTGGTAGTTCCTCAAGCTACAAAAATGGATGGAGCAATGAAAATAGAGCACTGCCTGTTTCTTGGGCTAATAATCCAAAAAGGATATTTTACAAACCTTAACACTTCTTCACAGAAAAGACGACAATGCTTACAAAATAAAAATGCTCTCAGCACAGCCAAAAAAAGGCACAATCAGAAGCTTCTTAAACTTGTCTGAGTTCACAAAGCAATTCTTATTTCCATTCTGTAAGACTCCTATTCCCCTTGGAAAATCATATATCCAAAATAAACATGTGCTGTAAAATGTATAGGAATTCTTGTTGTGATAAGGGTCCATTCTTTTTCCTGGCAATGGGATAAAAGTCATGGTCAAGTACGTTTGTAAAACAGGCAGTTTTACCTGCATTAACAGAAAAGGCACTTGGTCAAGTTTCTCTAGATGAGCACGCCCCCTTGTGGTCACTTCCTGACTTACCTCTTTGGAATGGTCAGTGGAGACTGTGGACTGTTTGAAGGTATTTTTCAACATTCATTACTCTGCCTTACTTACCTACTATCTTACACATCTATAATGTTGAGTAAGCATAATATTATTTAGTGATATTTCAGATAAACTATCCCTTTTATTTCCTTATTTCCCCCAAATACAAGCTTATTGTTAAAACAAGCATAGTTTTTAGACTCAGGTATGTTTGAAGCCCTTAAATAATGGATTTCAAACCCATTGAAAGACTGCAAAATTTACTATCAAAAGGAAATATCACTGTATGGGTTGTTTCAAAAATATTCAAATCCTCAGTTGTAGATGTTTAAATTAGTAATGTCAACTGAGTAAAGGCACTATTTCTAGGGACTGTGATAAAGTAAAAAAAATGTTCATGCTTCTATGGACCTACACAAACAAAATAACCACATACACCAATCTCAAAATGGCAAATGTATGAAGCAGATAATTCAATTCAATAAACACTAAGTACCTATCATCTGCACTAAGTAGAAGAAAGAAATCTGATCTGCATGGCATTGGAGCTACCCCATAAGGGAAGAGTTGAAGCAAAGAAGTAAGTAATATTCCATTATTAATTACTACTTGTTCCGTTAAGGGAAAGGATATAAACAAAAACTTAGACTTCAGAACTTTCAGCAAGTTCATGAAAAACTGAAAAGAGAAATATACATGATGAGTAAAAAAGATAATTCCTGAAGGACACCAACAGAAAAGTAGTTTGTGACTAGGTTTCAAGAGGGTTTATAAAATTCAGCCTAAACGTTTGGGTTTTAACCCACAGAGAGTAAAGATTCTATTAAAGCTTCTTCCAGGAGAGAGACAAAACCAGTGCAGGTATTTTAAAGGAAATGTATCTTCCGACAGCACACAGAAATAAAACAGAACGGGGCTGGACTAGAAGCAAAGAAGCCAGATGTGAAGATACTGCAACAGTCCAGCCATTAAGGGTGAAAAGACAAAGGCTTAGTGGTGGTAAATCTACTAAAAGAAAACAAGAAAAAAAATAGTAGTGCATGCATTCATTAAACAAATGTTTACTGAGCATTTATTATATGTCAAGCTGGGAAACCATGGTAAATAAGACACATATAATCACTGTCCTGGAAACTCACTCGAAAGATAAAGACATCAAATAACCACACTAATAATGACAGAGAGACAATTGGAGCAGCATGATAACTTAAAGAGAGAGAAGAGGGAAGGAGACAGGCAACATTCCCTGGAGCTGGAATCACATATGTGAGGACCTTGTTGGTTATATTCCTAGCTATTTTATTCCCTTTGTAGCAATTGTGAATGGGAGTTCGCTGTTGATTTGGCTTTCTGTTAGTCTGTTATTGGTGAATAGGAATGTTTGTGATTTCTGCACATTGATTTTGTATTCTGAGACTTTGCTGAAGTTGCTTACCAGTTTAAGAAGATTTTGGGCTGAGACAATGGGGTCTTCTAAATATACAATTGTGTCATCTGCAAATAGAGACAATTTGACTTCCTTCTTTCCTAATTGAATATCCTTTATTTCTTTTTCTTGCCTGATTGCTCTGGCTAGAACTTCCAATACTATATCGAATAGGAGTGGTGAGAGAGGGCATCCTTATCTAGTGCCAGATTTCAGAGGGAATGCTTCCAGTTTTTGCTCATTCAGTATACTGGCTGTGGGTTTGTCATAAATAGCTCTTATTATTTTGAGATATGATCCATTGATACCTAGTTTATTGAGAGTTTTTAGCATAAAGGGCTGTTGAATTTTGTCAAAGGTCTTTTCTGCATATATTGAGATAATCATGTGGTTTTTGTCTTTGGTTCTGTTTATGTGATGGATTACGTTTATAGATTTGCGGATGTTGAACCAGCCTCGCATCCCTGAGATGAAGCCGACTTGATCGTGATGGATAAGCTTTTTGATGTGCTGCTGGATTCGGTTTGCCAGTATTTTATTGAAGATTTTTGTATCAATGTTCGTCATGGATATGGATATTGGCCTGAAATTTTCTTTTTTGGTTGTATCTCTGCCAGGTTTTGGTAGCAGGATGATGTTGGTCTCATAAAATGAGTTAGGGAGGATTCCCTCTTTTCGTATTGTTTGGAATAGTTTCAGAAGGAATGGTATCAGCTCTTCTTTGTACCTCTGGTAGAATTCAGCTGTGAACCTGTCTTGTCCTGGACATTTTTTGGTTGGTAGGCTATTAACTGCTGCCTGAACTTCAGATCTTGTTATTGGTCTATTCAGGAATTCAACTTCTTCCTTGTTTAGTCTTGGGAGGATGTAAGTGTCCAGGAATTTATCCATTTCTTCTAGATTTACTGGTTTATTTGCATAGAGTTGTTTCTAGTAATCTCTGATGGTAGTTTGTATTTCTGTGGGATCGGTGGTGATACTCACTTTAAGACTCCATTTTTTAAGGAAGACCTGGGAAGAATCTCAATGTATTGAACCTTTATATAAGTTAGAAGCTTTTCCTAAATCAGGAATATATACATATCCATACACAGACACTGCAATTGTCCAGCCATCAAAGTTTGAAAGTTTTAGACTCAGATATTGATGACTGACATAAAGTATTACAAACCATAAACATTTAGAAAATCTTCATCAAGTTATACTGAAAAGAATGCTGATCATCAGGCTTTATAACCTAAATAAATGCATGGGATGGAGATGATCCAATAATACATTAATTAAGTTACTGACCTATCTACTGATTTACATGTAAAATCTGTAGGCTCATCCAGTAATCAAGATATTCTTATGTGAGGCAAACGTAATTTTCAGTATATTACCTACAACTCAAGAAAATGATTTCAAATACAAGACAATCACTTCACAGAATGAATTTTCAGTTTTATTTTTAAAAAATAAAGTATACTTCTTTATGTAAAAGAGAAGTCAAAGAAGTTTCCTACTTCTGTTTACTCATTTATTCATATATTAATCAACTCCTTGAGCAGTAAGCCAAAACTCTAGACCATGCAAAGTCAATTTCTAGAGAAGACTAATTACTTCTTTCTCTGCACTCTTAATACTCTAAGAGTCCCTGCCAGTCACATCTAGGGCTGGCTATTTGAAACTGTTATTTCTGAAATCTAGATTATGCCATGTACAGTCAGTTTGTTTTTCCAATGTGAGGGTCTCCTCTTGTAGCAAGCACAGACACGTACACAAGTACGAATGGAACAATCTGAGGAAAACATATTGTTTGTTGTGCATTTATTTTCTTTGATCTTAGCCTACTTCTCACCCCAAAACTACAATGATTTAGTATGATACAGTTAAGTGTTTACATAATAATTTCAAGATGGTGGATAAAAGGGAAAAATGTTACCCACAATATACTTCAAAAGAATAGAATATATTTATATGAAGCACACAAAGGAAGGCCCAACATTTCCTTTCTGAAACATGTGGCCAATTTGATGTCCCTATGTGGTGGCTAAAGAACACAAAATTTAAAATTGTAGCATCTCTTTAGAGTAGTTTTAAATACACAACATTGTATAAGAGCATCAAAAGCATTATGAAATTTTCTGAACTTGTTTATTAAAAATCAAAGAATGAAAGATATTCATTCACACAATGGAAAATGTCTGATTAGCTTTCATTTCACTATCCTATGTAAGTACTGCTTTACCTAAACACCAATGAAATTAATTAAAAATTAAATTACTTCATAGAAATCATGGGAGGAGGCAAATAATTATTATGTACAGTCAACTGTAAAATCTGTTATTAAAAAAGAAATGGAAACTATTTCAACAATATGCTCATGAAAAAAGAAAAGAAAAAAGGCTTGAAACATCAAAAATGTTGAGATCAAACAATACCCTCAACCTCTTTTAATACTCTAAAAGTCCCTTACATTCATATCCAGACCTGGCTGTTTGAAACTGATATTTATGAAATCTAGATTACGCTATGCATTTAATCAGTTTGTTTTCCTGATACAAGGGTCTCCTCTTTAAGCAAGTAACTCTCAGTCATGTAGCAACTCAGTCAGTTCTGTAGCATAAGCCAAGTACAGCAACTGACCAATGAGTTAATGAGTTAACTACTTCATTCCAAAAGTAAGGTTTCCTCTTCCAAATGTCATAAAGATTAGAAACCAATATATCTAACTACTTTTTTCTTTTTGTGTCAAAACAAAACAAAAACTAAATTTAAAACAGGTAATCACTTCATTACATATACCACATGAACTTACTGATACGTATTCCAACAACGAGAGGCCATGTCAGGGGAAATCCAAATGTCAATTTGCAGAAATTATGGAAGATACAGGAACATGCTGAACTGCACTGTGTATGTACAATAAGCAAAACTCAGATTGAAAGAAATTTCACAGGACAAACAGTCCAGGTTACTTGACAGAAAAATAGCCCTTGTTTGGCCTAGTATATATAAATTTCAATTACCAGAGTTTATTTAAATCACACCAGTCCCTCAACAACATGGTTCAAATTTCAATTACCATGGTATATTAACTGTGAGTAATTGCGTGAAGGATACACTCCCCCTCCAGCTCCTCAGTTCACAAACCACAGCAAACATCAGAGATGCACATCATGATCAGTGACTGATTATGGTATTCTTTGAAAGTCTGTCAGTGATGTGTCACTGTGCACAGACATAGGTGGAAATGTTGCTGCTCTCTCTATGTGATGAAGCTACAGAAGAAAGTGAAGCAAAAAAAAAAGTGATAATGCTGGAAGTGAAATTCAAATGAAAGATGCATGAAGTTATGTAAGAAATAAGTGGCCATAGGAATGTCTGTCACTGCTGCTGCTAAGTCTCTAGATATACAGACAGAGGAACTCACTAAAGAGGATCTTATCAAGGAGTGGAGTTGTGACAAAAAAGATGAAGGTGTCCCAGATTTTTATCTTAAATAAAACTCCACCATGTCTTGCCTGTAAATTTAATGCTTCTAAATGCTTTAGTATAATAAGTAAATGCTGGTTTTACTTTTTTCTGTTTCCATACACATTTGTAACCAACAGTTAAGAGTTTTCTGGGGTTTTCTTTGTGTTTTCTTTTTTCCTCTTTTTGAGACAGGGTCTCACTCTGTTGCCCAGGCTGGAGTGCAGCAGCATGATCGTGGCTCACTGTAACCTCAAGCTCCCAGGCTCACGCTATGTTCCCACCTCAGCATCCTGAGTAACTGAGACTACAGGTGCATGCCACCATGCTCGCTAGTTTTTATTTTATATTTATATAGAGAGACAGGGTCTTGCTATGTTATCCAGGCTGGTCTCAAAACTCCTGGCCTCAAGTGATCCTCTTGCCTCTGCCTCCCAAAGCACTGGGATGACAGGTGTGAGCCACTGTACTCAGCCAAGAGTTTTAAACGTTTTGACAAAAATATTTAAAGGTCATGGAACAAGCAAAATTTTTGCCATTAAGACCAGTCTGCATGGTTTCAGCTTACACGGTCACTTTATGGTCTAGCACTATCATGCAAAGTATGGATTGTTTGTAGATCATAAAAGTAAGAAAGAGATAAAAGAAAAACCCAGAAGAGATACATCTACCCAGAGAGTGAAGTAGAACAGAACTTAAGGACTACTATTTTTGTTTCACAATATAATACTACAGCTAAATAGTCATCTTTTCCTTCTCCATCATGTCTTCCCTGTAAATAACAAAAAAAAATATGCAAGGATGAAACAAAGATGCCAATTACTAAGAATGGATAATTACTAAGAATTTATATACCTCGTTTTAATATATTTTATCTTAAAATCTATATATCCTAAAAATAGCAAAATATTCTATTTATCTATAGACTAGCTGTTTCACTCAATATTACTTTGTAGGAACAAGGGATATGTTAATTGTGGGGAAGGAGATTATAAAAACCTATCTTCATTAATGCTATATACTGTAAATTACCTACCAAATAACCACTACCATTGATAATAAAACGGCTATTTTTTGGGGAAAGATAATGTGTCTATCCTCAAGCCATGAACAATGAGATGGTAATTATGACAACTCATCCCAATTTCCTAGGCTCCTTTGTAGCCGGAAATAGCCATGCGACTGAATTGTACCTTTTTTCAACTACTGAGGAGAAGTTTACTGAGGGAGATTCCAGAAAAGCTTTGTATCCCAGATAAAAGGAATATACAGGCCAGGCGCGGTGGCTCACGCCTATAATCCCAGCACTTTGGGAGGCCAAGGCGGGTGGATCACGAGGTCAAGAGATCGAGACCATCCTGGTCAACATGGTGAAACCCCGTCTCTACTAAAAATACAAAAATTAGCTGGGCATGGTGGCGCACGCCTGTAGTCCCAGCTACTCGGGAGGCTGAGGCACCTCCTTGAACCCAGGAGGTGGACGTTGCGGTGAGCCGAGATCCTGCCACTGCACTCCAGCGTAACAAGAGCGAAACTCCATCTCAAAAAAAAAAAAAGGAACATACATCTGGCACTATTCCCTCTTTGCCATTCTGCCTTACTCTCACCTTGAAAGCAAATGTGACATCTAAAATTTCAGGAGCCATATCACATCCATGAGGCAAGGTATAAGAAAAAGGCCTAAAAGAATACCAGCCATGTTGGCCCTAGCATTGTCAGAAATCTAAACTAATGACAGCAACCAACCACCTCCAAATTTACTACTATGTGGCTAAGGGCCAAAGAGCAAGGGGACACATATGCATTTCTTAAACTACAATCAGGTTTTCCACTGTTTGCAGCCAAAAGCATTCCATGGATTGATTCTTATTTAAAACTAATCAAACGTAAGTATAAACGGTCAAGGACTAAAGAAAACAAAAGCGCTCTAATTTATAGAAGTAGAATAGCAAGCAGAATAAATTCTTCTCTCTTTAATTTGTATTATTACTTGTACTGTGATAATGTTTGTACAATCAATTTCCTTAAAAGAAAAACAGGAAACATCAAAGCAATAAAAAATATTCTAAATTATCTAGTTTTTTTTACACTTTAAATTACAGACATATCTTGGAAATATTGCAGGTTTCATTCCAGACTACCACAATAGAGCAAATATTACAATAACTTGAATCAAACAAATATTTTGGTTTCTGTGTGCACATAAAAGTTATGTTTATACTTTACCATAGTCTATTAAGTGTACAAAAGCATTATGTTTAAAAAAACAATGTATATACCTTAACTTTTTTTTTTTTTTTTTTTTTTTTTTAAAGACAGAGTTTTGTTCTTGTTGCCCAGGCTTCAATGCAATGGCATGATCTCAGCTCACTGCAACCTCTACCTCCCAGGTTCAAGCTATTCTCCTGTCTCAGCCTCCCGAGTAGCTGGGATTACAGGGGTGCACCACCATGCCCAGCCACTTTTGTATTTTTAGCAGAGACATGGTTTCACCACGTTTGTTAGGCTGGTCTCAAACTTCTGACCTTAGGTGATCCACCAACCTCGGCCTCCCAAAGTGCTGGATTACAGGCATGAGCCACCATGCCTGGCCCATGCCTTAACTTTAAAATACTTTATTGCTAAAAAATGTTAACAATCATCTGAGCCTTTAGCAATTCATAATCTTTTTGCTAGTGGAAGGCCTTGCCTCAATGTTGATGGCTGCTGACTAATCAGGATGGTAGCTGCTGAAAGATGAGGGGCGGTGGCAAGTTATCCAGCAAACTAATAATGAAGCTTACCACACTGACTGATCCTTCCTTTCACCAAAGATTTCTCTGTAGTACATGATGCTACTTGACAGCATTTTACCCACAGAACTTCTTTCAAAACTGGATTCAACTCTCAAATCCCATCATTGTTTTATCAATAAGTTCACCTAATATCCTAAATCCTGGCTGGGCATGGTAGCTCATGCCTGTTAATACTAGCACTTTGGGAAACCAAAGTGGGCAAATCACCTGGGGTCAGAAGTTTGAGACCAGCCTGGCCAACATGGTGAAACCCTATCTCTACTAAAAAAACAAAAAATTAGCCGGGTATGGTGGCAGGTGCCCGTAGCCCCAGCTACTTGACAGGCTAAGGCAGGAGAATTGATTGAACCCAGGAGGCAGGGGTTTCAGTGAGCCAAGATCAGGCCACTTCACTCCAGCCTGAGCTACACAGCAAGACTCCCTCTAAAAAAAAAAAAAAAAAAAAATCTAAATCCTTTCTTGTAATTGCAACAATGCTTTCAGCATCTTTACCAGGAGTAGATTCTATCTCAAGAAATAACGTTTTTTACATATCCACAAGAAGCAACTCCTCACCTATAAAGTTCTATCATGTGATTGTAGCAATTCAAGTCACATCCTCAGGCTCTACTTCTAATTCTAGTTCTCTTGCTGTTTCTATCCGCAGGGACTTCCTCCACTGAAGTCCTGAATCTCTCAAAGTCATCCATGAGGCTTGGAATCCATTTCTTCCAAACACCTTTGAATGTTGATATTTTGACTTTGAATATCAAAATATTCCATGTATCATGAATACATGTTCTGGAATCCAGAATGGTGAATCCTTCCCAGAAGGTTTTCAATTTATTTTGCCCAGATCCATCAGAGGAATCACTATCTATGGCAACCTTAGCCTTATAAAATGTATTTCTTAAGTAATAAGACTTGAAAATCAAAACTACCCCCTGATTCATAGGCTGTGTTAACAGGCATGAAACTAACAGAGATGTTGGGTGACAAGGTGCATTGTCAATAAGCAACGATATTTTGAAAAAAATCTTCTGATCAGTATGCCTGAACAGTAGAATTAACATATTCAGTAAACCATGCTATAAACAGATTATGCTGTCATCCAGGGCTTCTTGTTCCATTTATAGAACAGAAGAAGAGTAGATTTAGCGTAATTCTTAAGGGCCCACGGATTTTTAGAATGGTAAATGAGCACTGGCTTCAACTGAAAGTCACCAGCTGCATTAGCCTCTAACAAGAGAGTCAGCCTGTTTTCTGATGCTTTGAAGCCAGACATTGACTTCTCCCCTTTCAAAGTCCTAGAAGGCATCTTCTTCCAATAGAAGGCTGTTTTGCCCGCATAGATAATCTGTTGTTTAGTATAGACATCTTCATCAATAACCTTAGCTACATTTTCTGGATAACTCGCTACAGCTTCTCTATTAGCACATGCTGCTTCACCTTGCACTTTCATGTTACGGAGATGGCTTCTTAAACCCCGTGAGCCAACCTCTGCTAACTTCAAACTCACATCTGTCAGCCTGAACAGAACTGAGGAGAGTTAGGGCCTTGCTCTGGAGTAGACTCTGGCTTACAGGAATATTGTGGCTGGTGATCTATCTAGACAACTAAAAATGTTTCTATTATCAGCAATACAGCTGTTTTGCTCTCTTTTCATTGATATATTCATTGGAGTAGCATTTTCAGGTTCCTTCAAAAACTTTTCCTTTACATTCACAATTTAGCTGATTTTTTGGCAGAAGAGGCCTAGCTTTTGGCCTGCCTTGGCTTTCAATGTGCCTTCCTTACTAAGCTTAATGGTTTCTATTACATTCTTTGATTTAAAGTGAGAGATGTGTGACATGAACACTTAGAGGTCACAGTAGGGTTACTAACTGACCTAATTTCAATATGGTTGTGTCTCAGGAAATAAGGAAGCCTGAGGAGAGGGAGAGAGACAGGAGACTGGTCAGTTGGGAGAGAAGTCAGATAACATACATTTATTGATTAAGTTCATCATCTTATATGCACACGGCTCCTGGAGCCTCCAAACAACTGCAATAGAAACATCAGTGATCACTGACTACAGATCACCATAACAGAGAAAATAACAATGAAAAAGTCTGAAATACTGCAAGAATTACCAAATTGTGACAGAGACATGAAGTGTCCACATGGTGTTAGAAAAATGACACCAACAGACTTGGTCAAAACCAGGTTGCCAAAAACTTCAATCTGTAAAAAACACAGTATCTGTGAAGCACAAGACAGCAAAGCACAGTAAGATGAGGTATGTCTGTACTAACCTACTGTCTACTTCTTTTAAGAAGTACATCTCCTTCAATGTTAATCTCCTTCAATAATGAGTAACAAAAATGTAAACATTAGGAACATTACCAAATATTCCTTTTATTATATTTATATCTCCAACTCATAGCTGCTTCTATGTAGCCACAACAAACTGTAGTAGTCAGCCTTAGTCCACATGCTTGCTAACTAATACTACACTAAAACTACACACACAGGACAGGGAGAAAAAACTAAACATAAGTCAATTTAGAAAACAGTAAGTTGTCCTTTCCTGTTATAGCCCTAAAAAATTAAGAAACTTCCAGTCTCTCTACTCACCACAGCTTACCTTTCTCCCCATAAACCTCTCTCACCATCCTCCCATTTTCTGCCACAAGATTCTACCCAGGGTAACCAACATAGGTGCAGATTTCTTGCTGAGTGACTTTAAAGATAAAAGCCACAATGGGAAAAACTATAGCGACTGTGACTCACTCAATGGTAATCATAAAGCACTTGAACATCCATGATCACTTTTGTCCCTTATAACAGTCCTGTTAAGGGAACAGAATATCACTATTTTCATTTAAAAACAAAAAACTGAGGCTTCAAATGTTAAATTATTCAATGGATTCACAGAACTAACCAACTGACAGTTAATTCACAAAATTCTCTTACCTCATATACCTATAGGGTAGAATCTCTTACCTCACATACCTCTCTCTCACTGCTCCATGGCAAAACTTCTCAAGAGTTATTTCCACCCTTGTTCTCCCTAATCATCCTATTCCATACCAGTCTCTAATCAACTATGTCAGAGAAACTGTCCCTGTCCCAATCAGCAGTCTCCAGGTGCCAAATCAAACATCCAGTCACCTGTGTTCCTGGCTGTCTTCTCAGCAGCATTTGACCAGGTGATGACTTTCTTTGAAACGTTCCTCTCATGGCTTCCTAGACACTCTTCCTGGTTGTGGCTCTACCTCTCTGGTCCCTCCTTCTTTCTCCTTTGCTCATTCCTCCTCCTCCCAGCCTTGATGTATTAAACTGGCCCAGGGTTCGGTTTTCTGACCACACTGCCTATTCTCACTCCTTAGTGACCTCATCTAGTGACATGGATTGATATTCTTTTTGATGCCAATGATTGCCAATGAGTACCTCTCTCCCAACCTGCCCATAAAACAGGAGCTTATGCCCATGTGCATGGAGGCACTCAGATAACCAACTCCAGAGCTAATGTTTCTGCCTGCCATAGGAAACTTCCTATCAGAAATCCTCTTATCCAGTATGATGAAAGGTTAAATTTTTTTAAAGTTGAAAATTCTCAGTGTGAAGCAGAGATTCATTAAAAAACAGAAAAAGACATATATCTTACACATATTATTTTTGTTTAAAACACAAAGGTTCATTCCATTTGTCAATCTCTTCATAGAGGACCAAGCCTTTTCTTTGAATGTGGGCCCAGAGATAAATACTCCATATCATCTTTCTTGCATAAACTATAACACACTCAATTTCCCATGATTTCAAGTGTCATTTTATCTTAAATAGAACAAGAACATAAAGACGCCGGGCGCGGTGGCTCACGCCTGTAATCCCAGCACTTTGGGAGGCCGAGGCGGGTGGATCACGAGGTCAAGAGATCGAGACCATCCTGGTCAACACGGTGAAAGCCCGTCTCTACTAAAACTACAAAAATTCAGCTGGGCATGGTGGCGCGTGCCTGTAATCCCAGCTACTCAGCCTCCTGAGTAGCTGGG